ATATATATATATATATATATATATACACACACACACACACACTCGACAACAATCTAGAACTTTCTATACATTACTAGATATATGATCCAATAATACTCAATTAAAGCAACAAGAAAAATTAAGAAGTTGCAAATAACATGACGTTAATTCACAATTGAACTACACAACAAATGATATGTAAACAGTCATGTAAGTAAACTTGCCATAACTATCACTTCTAAAAATAACTTACTTTATCACTCACGCTGTATAAACTAAATTATACCTTAGTATTAAACTTAAAATGAACAGTCGTGTATATCTAACAAAACATTTAGTTTACTTAGAAAAAAAATATATTTTGTATTTACAAAAATTTAAACTTCTCAACACTACTGTTAGCTGAAAAAAGTAATCCCAAGACACTTGATTCTTGGGATTGTTCAGTCTGCCAATTTAATTTTGGAGAGCAGTATCAGGTAACTGATGAACTTCTATCAGGTACCTTTCTTAACCCTCCTTCCTGTAGTGAGTGTTACATAACATATTACAATAGAACAAGTTAACTACCCACAGTATGTCGCACTAAACTTCTACAGTACATAAATAGAAAACCCTGAATACCAATGTTCAAATTTTAAAATGCAAAACATAATAATTATGCAACAAAAATTCTCAATATAAAGCACCTCCACAAAGCAAATAGCTATACAACTCAACCAGTGATCACTATAATACAAAGTTACATTGATTACAAGCATCCTGTATGACAATATCTGTTGAATTTAAGAGCGCAAACTTTTCTACATCTACTAAACCAAGGACAACATAAAACTGAAACCTACACGACTCAAACATTTATATCAGCCTATGATGTGTTTGCAAATTATTACTGGAAAGTGCTTTTGAGCCCTGGAATCTGAAATTCAAGCTCATTAATACCAGTGAGAACATAGGCCTACAACCTTAAAGAGACACTAGTAATGTGGTATAAAATAACTTAAGCATTTCATAGTCTTAAACATGGGTAATGAGTGCAAATCCTGTGTTCCAACAGCTTTATTTCATAGTATTCAAAAAATAGAAATAAGGGCTTATTGATACTTAACACCTATGAAATTATCTCGGTTACTAATGCTTATGCAGTTGAGTTATGTTTGACTTTCAGGCCAGGAGTCACATCACTTAATACAGTTAATATTACAATACAAGTACAAACCTTAAAGAAGCAAACATTCCTTGTTCATTATTATATGTTGCAGGTTTCTGTAGTTATGAGTATTGCATCAAGTAAAAGTGAACATTATTGGTGCATATATTTTTAAAAGTCAAAACATGTTTAGGGGTTGAATGAAGAAATATGAAATTAATCTGGAATCTTTTAATGATATCAATTATACAAATGTTACTATCCCTCTCAATGTATATCTAGATTACATATTATAATCCATGAATAGTACTCATTTTCATTGACAGACTTTCAGACTAATTGTTATGAAAGTACACTACACAAAACAGTTGCAGCATAGTCCAGATTTGTAATAATATCCATGTAAAAACTGTTATAAAATTATGTCCCTCACTTCTTAATTTATTTATGAAAACCAGTTATCTGATCATCAGTCACATGATCTGAAATGAAAAAAAAAATCTTGTGGCTTGTTTTTAACCCACACAAACATATATATAATGGCCTTCTCAGTTGTCACCTTGAAGAGAATACGGAGTTTAAAGTACTCCACGTTGCTCATGAGCCATGGCTAGACCTCAAGAAGACCTATGGATATTTTTCTTACATGAAGACAAAGAGGACCAGCTAATCATAACAGAATGTCAGTGACAGAATATGAAACTGCTTCCAAGCCAATAATAGTTGGTTGGACACCTGGAAAAGGCAGATCATCATTCACAATACCAATTCTGGCTAGAGAGTACAGGCTCCAAGATTGCAATGAATGTTCACAGTCACAATTAACCAGGACATAAGAAAAACTTATAAAGTAAAAAAAAAGTTCATATTTTTAGTCTCAACAGGTCCCAATACACTCCAGATCACAAATGGATCATGAGCTAAAAATAAGGTTAATTCCAAAACTGATTTTTTTAAAAGCAAAGGTTTACCAATCATGCACAACAATGACAATAAGTTCACTCTTATGTGGTTAAGGCAAACTGTTTTCCTTTTGATGTTGCATTAGTTCCCTTTACTGGAAAGCAATCACTTAAAACCTGATTCAGATGAGATTTGTTACTGGTTATTAGTTAACTCCTGTAATATGTCTGATCAGTTTACAGTAGATTTAGCAAAATTCAGATTGCTCAAATTACTGACACCTAATTGTTTTCAAATCATTTACCACTTACATGTCATACAAAGAACTCGAGTCACCTAGCCCCAGAATAATATAAAACTGAAAAAAACATTTATTTAAATTTGTCTCAACAAATCATAAATGTAAGGTTTGCAACACTATTCATTGTATTAAAATCATGCGACTGTTAAAACCTTCAAGTTGTCAAAATTTGAAGACATGCATGAGTATCCTGGGGAAGATTAGATAAACAGTCTTCACACCCATAACATTTGAAAGTATGAAGAAAGTTCCAATTTCAAAACAGGTGGAATATATGCAGCAATGCAATAGGTTTAAAAAATGTAATAATACATATTTTAATCTTGTTTTTTCTTCAGAAATAATCAACATATTTTTTATTACTTGAAATGTTGCTTATTTTTTAGGTTTGGTGAGATTTGGAAAAATTTAACAATTGGTATTACATAATAATTTTATTTTACCATAATTCAGCTGTGGACAAAAAAATCCCAGGAGCAAAATGGACTGACTAATGTCATCGATCTATGTTTTGCTAGAAAAAATGTTCAAAAAAAGCTTTAAATTAACATTATTGTACTTAAAACTGCTTATTCAAATGCTTACAACAGCAGACTTCAAGTAATATTTTCCATTACACTAATAAATTTTCATAGCTGAATAAAATAAGGAAAATGGTCTTTACCAGTGCACATGTGTTGTTAAAGAAAATGCTAGGGCACAATCCATCACTGGGCTAGGAAACACAAATGACGCAGGTACTATTCCAAACAAGCAAGTTGCTAACACTCTCTCTCCAGTCCAAATTTTGGTGTGGCTGTGTGCATGTGCTATATGACAAACAATTTATTTAAATGTCAAACAAAGCCATAAGAAGATTAAAATGTAAATTAGTTTGATGCATGTTCTCATCATATTAACACTTTCAGCACGAAGTTAGTCAATACAATCCTCTTTAGAACTACCTTATTACCATGAAATTATATATACTATAACTCAAAATTTACCAATTGCATCTTCATAAAATATGACATTCTTTTATTATACATTGCCAATCTGTTGTACACAAAAAATTACCTTTTTTTTAGTAAAGTATTTTCCCTGAATATTTGTTTGTGGATTTATGAAGCCTATACCTAGTCAGTCTGAGTAAAAGGTGATTTTCATTTCAAGAATAAATTACTTCATCTCACAGTTTTCTTATTTCATTTAAATAACCACTAGAACCACCTTAATGATTGTCAAGGTCTTATTTATTTTCTCTATCCCAATACTAACTGTAGTGAAATCATCAATATACAATGAAATGAGAAGTTTAAAAATATGAACTAAAACTAATACCTTATTTCTTGTTTGAATGCATCATTTATTGCAAGATCAACTTAATTATCCTTAAAATTTCAAGTTAACCTTTTCATGTGTTCTTTTAACCCTCTCACTACAAGTAGGTCAAAGTGTACACGTTACGACCTTTAACAGTTACATTCAAAAGTTAAATTACTTTATCAACGTACATGAATAAACTTGGCATCAAAATGTAGTTCATAAACCAAATTTTAATATAGGTTTTAATTTCTTAATTTATAAGGAAATATTTAAATATGTGCTCAATCTTCCCTTGTATGAGAATCATGGCATTTGTTCTCTAGGTCTTCTTTCTTCTCTAATTTATTTACCACATATGGATGTATGGAGTTTAATGTAAATTACTCATAATAATATAGTTACTAATAACTCAGTCTAATTTTTATAGCCTTCAATCTTATTTGTTTATGAAATCATAAAGTAGAAAATCAGACCTGCCTGTCATTTCCTCAAATTGCCAATAGTTATCTCTAAACCTTTATACCAGTTATAACCAATAAAAAGGCAAAGTTTTAATCTATCAAATAGTGCATAATGCTACATGTTTTCACTACAGAGTATTATCTATTTCATCTTCAGTTTGAAATTTTTATCTTGCAGTGTTCATACCAAGTAGCTAAGGGAGTTATTTTAAGTCCCTCCAGCTTTAGTCAGAAAGCCAGTTAGATTATAACAGTTATATGACATCGTTTACTTTTTCTTTGTCCTCAAGTGCATTATTTAAATAAATAAAAATTATATATTGTACTGGTACCATCATTATAAGCAGGCATAAATTTCATTAGCAACCAACAGTAAAAAACAAAAGGTCAAATATAAGTACTATTTAAATTTGATGATGAGGAACCCACTTTTTAGAAAATAAAACTTTGGAGATGGCTTGAATGGGTAGTGAAGAAAACTTTATAATTGTACAATGTTTTAACAAAATTATGTCATCATCAGGTACCACCAATCCTATATGTGAAAAAAAAAGAAAAAAAAAGTTAATTTTACGGTCTTATTGTCTATATTTTGGACCACAGGACTTCATAAAAAGCAATAAATAACACCAGGTGCCATTAGCTGTTTGTAATCACCACATGATCTTTGCACTTGACTGTAACTGCTTGTAACCCTTATGAAATCTTGCACATTTTGGTCTTCAAAAAAAAAATTCACATAGCATTCATATATGCATTTTGAAAACCCAAATATATATTATACTCTAGAACATAATTGCACAAAACTACTATAATTTAACTAGTTTTTTAACTAAGCTATAAATAGTTTAAAAAATTCAGCTACTTAGAGTTGAACAAAAATGACCAAAGAGAGGATGTAGGGCCAACTGTCTACCTATACCTACCAAAAAGAAACAATTGTAACAAGCTATATAGAGGAGAATATGCTCTTTCTATTGGTTATAAACATGCCCATTAAGTAAGTACAAGTGATTAAATAATTGCCTTAAAAGTAACAGAAAGATGGGAGGAACTTCTCTGGTGGGTTTGAGAAATGTATTGATATCTCAAGAAGGTGAAATGTTCAAATTTTATCTTATTTCTTGTGGTTATGTATAGTTTGCTTCTAATTCATTGGACACTCTGAAAGCTTTACTATGAAAGCTAAAACATCTACAGCATAAAATTCAGAATAAAGATGTCATATGACACAGAGAAGTGAAGACTGAGAATGTTTTTAAATATTTTCTTTTGAAATTAGTACTTAACTACATTTTGACACCAAGTTTAATGACATATATTGACAATACAGTAGTTCAACTAAATTCTGATGTTCACTTTGACCCTATTGTATGGAAAGAGCTGATGTATCTATGAGTGATTTTATATATAAAAAGTGCCATACAATTTTCAGGATGAGTTCTTTAATCCAATAATTTGCAAAAAACAATACACGCTCTATATTTTCAAGTAACCATACATTTCACAACTGTTAAATCAAACAAAAATGTTGATCCATAAATTTAACACTTAAGATAAAGCTATTTGAAGATTGACTAAAAATATATATTGTACTTTTTAAAAGATGTACATATATACACACACAAATTTTGCAATAAAATCATTTTATTTTCAACTACTTCATATAGAGCCAAGTTTAAGAATGCATTGAGAAAGTAAAATTTTTATTTTGATTGTTAAAATTTTCTAAAAGATACACTGTGTGGGTGTAAACTTATCTTTACTCTTTAAAACATTGTAGTGTTTTGATTACCTTAATTTTTTTCTACTATTTTAATATGTTTGGATGCAGAAAATAATACAAAATTACCATTTGAGGTTTCTTTTACTGCACTGATATGAAATGGCTTGATTGCACCTTTATGATCATAGCCTTTGACTCCAGTCTCTAGATTGCTTACAGTTGGTAAAATAACTTGAGAAACTGGGCATTTCAGAGAAGAGGCTGCAAGCAGCTGAACTCCACTCACTGAAAGATATAAAGTTACAAAACATACAATTTAAACACTATAGGTAGATCTGAAATATTTCAGAATAATTTGTGTAATGAAACATCTCTTTCATGAAACTAAAATTACAATAACTTAGTTTTGTATAACCATAATATATTTTCTGATTGCTAACATTTTTAATGCAAACATCTTTGCATAATTAGTGCTATATACTCCTTAATTCTCACTTGTTATAAAAACAGTCTGATGGCAAATTTTCTAACACTTAAACTGTAAGGTTTCATCTAATATTTGGCCATTATCTAGATGTATAATATGGTTTAATTATTACAGTAATAACCCCCTTATTATTGGCCATTGGGATAAATTTAATGGCTAGACAAAAATAAATGGCAGGCCTTCTTACAATTTCAGCAAGTTGAGGACATACAATAGTAATATAAAGTAACTGAATATATATTCTACATGAGATATATATAAATAAAACCTTGAATACCTTTAGCAAAGGATATATGTATATAATTTAACATTGAGGTGTGATATCTCAGTATTATCCTGTAAGAAAGAGTAAAATAAAAATTCTCCCAGGCATCTGTGAAATGATTAATACTTAGTTATTATTATACATGAAATATTCCAACAGAAGATGGCCTGCAATGTATTCTCGTACAGTTATTTAGTGATTTAATATTTAATTATTATTTATTTCTCATAACAAGCATTAAACATTAATTTTAAAAGTAATAGTTATGACACATTTTGTTACATAACTGTAGGAGTCATATGTTGTGTATGTAGTTTAATTGTTGTACTAGGCTTTTGTAATGTTGTTGATGTCATCTTACTCAAAGCTTCTAAGTTTTCTCATTATGTGTAATATTGTTGTTACTAGAGGGCTAGACATTTCTAGAACTTTCTGTCACGTATTATAAATACATGCAGATAGAGAAAGTGAAGTTATACTGCATATCAGTGTAGCCGTAACAGGTGATTTCTAAAGTAAATTTCACAACTTATAAGTAATAACAGAGGCAGAGGAGAATAATTTGTCTTGTCAAAGGGTGTTAAGTAATTGAGCCCACCTAAGTGGACTTTGAAAAAAAGGAAAATTATTTCAAGCTCTGGATACAACTGTGATAACCAACAGCATAACAATTTTTTTTGTATATACATTTGACTTATTTTGAATATAGTATTTTAAAATAAGTGAATTGTATGATGTTCATTTATTGTTGAAATTTATATCCAACAAGTCACAGACACCTACTGTTAAGAATCCGGCCCTATAAAAACCTTACAAAAGTAAATTTTCCCAAATCTTACTGTTAGGCTAAGTGATGTTTGTGGGCAAATACTGTACATGAACATGAAAAAAGCAGTTGAACCATGGATGACCATTAAGGTCAACTTGTTCAAAGAGAACCATTTTTGTCACAGAACATATCAACATTTTGGCTTTTAACTCTTCAACTTATTACTCCTAATATTAAAATTTTTATTCCACTAGTCAAAGTTAAACTATATCTACATATAATAGAGTGAAAGAGTGTAAGAAACTTGGAATAAGCACATTCACAGGATATCTATGACAAATTACAACAAACAAAAATACCGAGTATAACAAATTAAATAATAGCTTTAAAGATACATCTACCAGATTTAAATATTACCAATACTATATTGAACAAAACGCTTAGTTATTATTTTAATGTTCATAATATTAGAAATAAAATGGATAATCTCAGAAGAAAACAGACAACTATAATGTACTGTGAATTACTGAAACATGGTTAGATCTGGAGAACACTGAGAATAGGAACTGTTTTAAAATTCCAGGTTATAAGTTATTCAACAGTGAGACTCTTTAAAAGAAAAGTGACACCCTATATAAGAGATGAATTACAGCTGATTGGAACTGAAGACATAAGAAATTGTATTCCAGCCAGGACAAGCAGCAACATGTATGTATTTAACTTACCCACTTTTACATCTTTATAGGGTTGCCTTTTTTATATCACTAGGCTCGTTTTTGATATCACATCTTTATATGACTCACCCATTTAATCTAACTTGTATGTTTTTGTATGTGTAAAATATTTTTATTAGATATCACTACTCTTTAGAATTAATCATAGAGTCAGTGGATTCTATATGTAGGGATAGCCAACATACTCAGTTGGCATAATACAAATACACTTACTAAAAAATCAACAATGACAGAGCTTTACTTTAAATTATGATTGTTTTTCTACCCAACATGTCTAGAAACAAGACAAGAAACCATCACTAAGATACCAATCCAGAATGTGATCAACCCATCAGATTTTTCATCTTTCATCTTCTTGTTTCATTCAAGATAACTGAACAACTACTTTATCACTTATGTCAGTTTAAACCTAAATCCACTGTATGTGTTTCTAGACAGTGCACGATGTCATCACTTAATCATAACTGGCAGTAATTACAAAAAGAAATTCATAATTGTAGTGTAAATAATGCTATCATTACCCATTCTAGTTAGCTTTCTTATAGAAAATCTGGTATTCCTTTAAAAAGCTTAAGTACAGGGTGAAACAGAAATTAGAGGCCAATAATAGTTGAACATTAGATGACTGTAACATGCAGAATACTCAATGCTTTGTATACTGTACAATCGGTGTCTTTAGGGAGCTAACCATTATTATGTATGAAGTGTAGGAGTAAAGAATACACCAAGTTTCAGTCAGGGGAAAAAACATCACAAAACAAGTAATAAAAAACATTTTGTAAATGTAAAATGATGTTGGGATGGCAGTGCCAAAAAGAATGCAAACAAGAATATATGGATGATACAGCTATACATATATCCTCCCTACATGACTGTCAATATTAAAATTTAATGCTACACTGTAAAATGCATACTTCACTTTAATATTACTGCAGTTGGAAGTTATATATTTCTGACTGTTGGTATGCAGTTTATCATAATATCACTGTCGTGTCAAAGTAGGAACTAATGTAGTGTAACTAAGAGCCTAGGATTTGTGTACAAGGAAAACCAAGTTGAGTCAAAACTTGTCTTGATTATTACAGACTCTCACCATGAGGGTGGTCAAATTGACTGGCCTTGTAACTATTTTTACTCGTGCATTTTACAGTGGAACATTAAATTTTAATATTGAAAGTCACATAGGAACGATCTATGTAATGCTGTATCATCTCTATATTCTTGTTTGCATTATTTTTGACACTACCATCCCTACATCATTTTACATTTACAAAATATTTTATTACTTGTTTCAAATACGTTTCCACCCAAAGTGGAAGTCAAGCCCCAGCTGTCAGGGAAAGCTATCAACACAGATGCAGTGTCTTAGACCATTATATCATTCCATCATTTCACTTTTGCCCCATGCCCCTTAAGTCATCAGTTTTAATCTACATATAATGGATGTGGAGAGTAATTGGCCATAAAACTGTGTGCCTGCATGTGAACAGCAAAAGCTCAGAATACCATCTGGAAAAAAAAAACACTTAACTTCATTCATGGAAACAAGAAGTGACAAGTGACACAAAGTACCAGCATATATACATTTTAGAATGCATCACATTTATGTTATTACTTTACGAAGAATAAACTCTCAATTACTGATTGTGTGGAGTGATATCCGTTTCCTGACCAGTTCACCTCACCTGATAATAATAATAATCAGTGACAAGAACAAAAAATAATTACAGGTTTTTGTATTTCCATTAATAATTGGTACCAATTCTAAACCAATTATTGGTGTATCCCTACTAAAAATTAATGAGGATTTGTTCAATGGTTACCTTTTATATGATATTGAAATTACATCAGAAACTAACTGGTTTATGCACGTTGAAATAAACCTTGACACTTTAGTATAAAGAAGTTTCTTTTCAAAACAGTCAGTGTTGTTCTTAAACAAAATAATCTTTTAATATTTACCCCATCTCAAACTGAAAAATTACTTATTAAAGATTAAAGTTGTTTGAAGATGGATCTCACACTGGAAAATGGATGGACTGAAAAACATAACCTAAAACTGAAAAAAATTTCACAAATGAACCAAACTAAGTTTTGAAAAACATGTATGTAACAACAGAAATTAATTTTACAAATATACGTGTGTGTGTGTGTGTGTGTTTGTGTATATATATATATATATATATCCTATGTTAGTTCCATTACCAGCTTTTATAGATTTTTTTTTTCTGTCACACAAATCATTATTTAATAAGCCATTGTTCTATGGATCCAACTGTAGTAGTGGAAAAGTTGCACAGGCCTACGAATTTAAACTTCATAAAAGTTTAGGTTTTTTTATAATGGATTTTCCATAATTCAGCTATGCAATTTCCAAAATAATATTTTTTCTATCATGTAAGGATTTTTTTACAAACAAACAGAAGAAAAGGAAAGAACATTGATGTCAAACAAATATGCATCTTGTTTCAATGACCAAGCAATAATCAGCCATCATGCTGATATTTCACATTCTCTGATACCTCCTCTCCATTTTCCTGATGTCTTGATGAAACCTTTCCCCTTGTACTTTGCTGATGGCACCGAGATTTTCAGGTAAATAGTCAACATGTGAGTGTTAGAAATGAACTTTTAAGCTCATATTACAATCCATCTCTTTGAATTTATTGAGCATGTTATTGACAATATTTTCATAATTTGGATCCTTGTTGTTTCCTAACATCTATAAAGGCAATCCATGCTTCTTTTTCAACTTTCCTCATTGTCCTGTTGAACTGTTCATCTGAAGTCAATTTTCTAAGTTTCAATTCTGAAAGAGCTAGGAATTGCCCACATAGTTACTTGAAACAGTCGCCATCTGTACAAACTGCTTCATCAAGCCAAGTTTTATGTGAAGTGGAGGTAATAGGACTTTCTTTGTGTCAACCAAACTTTAACATTGCTTCTTTATACAGTGGTGATTTCATGCTCTGCTGGAAAATTTGTAAAACCAGATTGTTGGCCCAACAACATACAAAAAACTCTTAAGTCTCTACAAAGTAGCCAACCATCTTCTTTGTAGCTGATCTCGTTAACTCTTTCAATACGAGCTAGGTCCCTGAGACCGACCTCATAACCATATTGTTTGTTATAATTTTCATGCTATAACTCTTAAATTAGTAAGCATATGTTAACGAAATGTGGCAGGTTATCATTAAATATGGCAATGCTTTCATACACCAAATGTCAAATTTTTCTTAAGTTTCAGGGTTTGTTAAGCAATGTTTTTCTCATGCCTTTTTTTTTTTCTTTTCGCATGTTGCTTATTCAACATGCAAAGTAATTTTCATTTTAAGATTAAAAATACTTTTATGCATCAAAAAATTTTCAAATTCACATGCGAAATCTGTATAATGTCCAGATAGTTATTAAAACTTTCTTAAGAAAAAACTTTATATTTTATCTGTTATTTTCTCTGTACAGATTTGATCGATTTGACCAATCTCATAACCATGTTAAAAAAATTAAGAAATAAATATAAATTATGCCTTTTTCATTCTAGAATGACTACAAATTACAACACGAAATCATAAGTGTTTAGAGTAAATAGCTTAAACCTCATAGCATTATACATTCATATATATATATTATTTTTATTATATTGACTTTTCAGCCAAGCCTGGCTAACAATACAGAAGTTACAATGACATGGCACATGTGCACTCATGTTACTATATCCAATAATATAAAAATGACATTTAGTCTTTACAAAGTGACCTGTCTCAGCTGTGTTTTAGTAGACTATATTTTGTAAAATAGTCAGATTTCAATTATTGTACATTATATATGTATATAGATTATTGCTATTTAGAAATAAGTTCTTAAACTTATTTTTCTTAAAACACAGAACAGTAAGTAAAGCAAATGATTATTACTTCTAATTACTACCTTTTTACTTGGTTGCTAAGCCTTTTTAAATTTTGCATGTGTAGGATTTGAAAACATTTTTTTTAGGTTTTAAATACATATATATATACAGTTGAATAATTTATTAACCTTAGTAACTAAGCTGTATTTCAGTATAAAAAAAAATATGAAAGTTTGAGCAGACTAGACACAACCTTCCTCCTTGAAATCTTGGTTTGAAAAAAAGAAATGGCATCCGAACACGTTAAAATGGCTGAGAAAGCCACTAGGGGGACATTCTGAGCTTGTAATTGGTTAATCATGTCATATAAAGAAGTAAGTGTATATAAGGGAGC